TTGCAATTGTTAAATATTGCCTCAAATGGTTTCTTTAAAAGATGTATGTAGAACATTTTTGGTTAAAGTATCTAAACTAATTAATACGACGGAAGCCGCAAATATAGTAAATTAGACACATTTGCTAAACATATGCTGCCTAGAATAGGTTTGAAAATTAAAATGTTTCTCTGATTATGCATGCCAAGGAGGGTTTGCGAGAAGTAGAGAATTGTACTTTATCCCTAATCTCAATATGGTAAAATCAATGGAAGATTCAAAATTGTATAGAAATATTAACCAAAATTATAAAGAAAAAAGAGACGGAGTAGTTACGCCTAATATTTAAGAAATCTCTATATGTAGTAAATGTAAATAAATAGAAATAAATGATTAGAGAAAATTCTTTTTATTTTGAAAAGATAGTACCAAAGGAAATTGTCAAGAGTGCTGGTTTTTTAGTAAAACCAGTATGAAAAAAAAAACGGAAAATAAATTATAAACATTCACAACATCTATAATCTAATACTAATTTAACATTTAAACCGCTTTGTGATAGAGGGCGCTACTTTTAATTCTCACGTCAGATACACCACTTTTTGCAATTACCTAATCCATTTTTTGCAATGGCGCATGCGTAGTATCGTTTGGTAGTTTTTTGTAGATTTTTACCTTGTTGGTAGATTCTCTAAAAAGAAATGGTCAAACTGTTTCCAGGTGGGTAAATCAGTATTTGTGACAAACTGTGGTAGGGACAATCAAATTTATTTCTTCATACCTACTCTTTATCGTTTCGTGGTATTATTTCTTCATACTCTTTAACACCCAATATATCTCACGTAGATCAGCTAACCGTCATTATTCGCTATGTTCTTTTACGTATTATAAAAAAAAATTTTTGGAATTTCTACCTATATTTTCTCATACTGGTGAAAACTTGGAGAAAAATTATTTTAGAATTTTTAAATAATTTTAAATTTTAGACATCACTAACTGTCGGGAAAGAATTATGATAATGCGCTTAATATGTAAGGTAAATAGTGGGGACTCCAATCCAGAATAAAACAAAATATTTTTTCTGTCCATTTTATACAAATTTGCATGGAAAATGACCACTTGTTTCAATATTGTACAAATTATACTTTATTTTTTGAAGTGCTACACATAGGTGGAATGAATTACAAAAATTATGTAAACGCAAACACTTGAGTAGTAAATATATTTGTAACACAAGATGGTCTGCTCGTTCCGATGCTCTGAAATCCTTAAAGGAAAATTATGATACGTTTGAGTATTATTTGAGTATTACTTATAATTATGTGAAAGATTTAGAGAGAATAAATGCTTCAAACAAGACTCTTCAACAAAAAGACGAATCCTTAAATACAGCAGTTTTAATATATGATTTATTGATAGATTTCAACAAATTGATAGATTTTAACAGTATAAACTGTTAGAGATGATTTTGATAATTTAGGATATGACATGAAATAAGATTCAGTGGCAAAGAACTTTTAAGTTCATATTTTTTTGGTGTATACGATTGTTTAATTAATATCATTAATTACCAATATTAAAAAAGGGCTGAGGGATATAAAACTCAAACAATAAATTCAAAAGAATTTTTCATGATAGTGATTTAGTAACGATAGTGATGATAGTAATGTTAGTGACGAGAAACGTCAACAGGCCGGAGCAAAAATTGTAACTGTTACGCCCGAGAAGTTAGAAATCGAGGAAAAACATCATGGAAAAAAGAACATTAACAGAAAGTAATTCAGCCGTTGAACTATCATCATCCAGTGACACTGACTGATTCATCAGTTGCCGAACCTTTCACATATTTTGAGTTTGGTCGTTACCAGGATTTACCTGAGATTAATTAATATGTGCTGGTGGAATTTCGAGATAAGGAATCAGTGTTTTATTACAAAATAAATAACAATCAGAATGCTCACTCTCGGATGCCACCTTTGAAGTCTGTCAGCACTCGACCGCCATATTTTAAAAGAAAACAAGAAATTGGTGACAAGCTACGACAGAACTGTAATTTAAATTTTTCGAGATTAATAATTTAGTACATTTGAAATAATTTAATCTATTCTTCAACTAAAAGTACAAATAAAATGGTGCATATTATGTCTATAGTTGCCGTAAATAAATTAAACCGGGTTAATTTTTCTATGCACACCAGATAAATTGTCACTGAATAGCACTGTTTCAGTTTAAAAACATGGCTGATTCCGTCTGCGCGCGAACTTATTTTTTCAAGCAGAGTGGGCATTCTGATTGTTTATTATTCTGTGGTTTTATGTAGCGAGAATTATTGAAGTAAACTATGACTTTAACGTCACCTTTTTTACGTCACAGTCCTAAAAATACAAACATATTTTTTCTTCCCATCTTACCAAATCTCTTATATTATCTGATTCACTTAGGACCGATTGTTCGAACGCTAATCAATACTGATTGTAATCAGATATTTAATTAAAATCAAATAGGTCACATTTTAAGGTTATATTGACTGATTTATTTTATTCAATTATATTATTTTGCGATTTAATTTAAAATAAACCATAACTAAACTCTTTCTGATGTTAATTTCATGTTTTTATTTACAAATAAATAATAATATTAAGCAATTTTTAATAATTTTGACAGCTGTTATGATGTATTTGATTGTAATTAAATATTTGATTACAATCAAGTTTTGATTAGCGTTCGAACAATCGGTCCTTTGTTATCTGACATCAATTTCTCAGATTTATCCCTCTCATCCAACATTACAGCAGATTAAGTTAATTTTATACCGTATACACCAAAAACATTTGACAGTAGAGTTCCTCTGGGTACCGATACACGTGTGCTAGATAGTCTAGCTAGGTTCGCAGTAACCAGTACAGCCGCATCAGTGGAAAATCTAACGGTGCATTTAGATTTAAAACCTTACTTAAAAGCAAAATTACACGATGTTTGGCAAAACCATAAAATAGAAGAACGACGTAATTGATAGAAATAATATCTTCTATCCTTCCATGAAACTTCTGGCCTTCAAAGCGACAACATCAAGTCCTAATAAAACGTCTTAGATTAGGATACACTTCTACAATACATTAATACTTGTTGAAGAGAGAATAAGAACCAGCGTGTTTTATTTGTGAATGTAAAGTGACAGTGAAGCACATCTTGATTGACTCTCCAATATACTCAGTTGAAAGACTATATCACCACATTCCAAAAACATTAAAAGAACTTCTAGGAAAATCTGAATAGGTAGCTGGCTTAACAGAATTATTAAAATCTATAAACGTTTTTAATAAATTTTAACATAATACATCAATAATTAAAATATATATTGTATACCTTATTATATATTTGATATTTTGTATATGTATATGTATGTCTTTATCACTTTTTGTATTTTTCTTATACTAATAACCCTAAGTGGTTGAAGCAAAATAAATAAAAAAAGTTTACTAAAACCATGCTTTTCAATAACATCCCTGTTCATCATCACATCATCCCCATAACAACCCTCCATGTAACTTAATTATACATCCTATTCCTAGTCTTCTACAACCGTTACTAAAAGATATAAATTGTCTGAAACCAGAACTCTACCATTCTCCAATAATCCTATTGGACCAACATACTTCCATATCATGATATTTCACTCACCAAATTTAACAAGGAAGATACCAGTATTAGTACATTAAGAATTCTCTTCCTAGAACTTATAAACAAAAATAAATATAACATAGTTCTTTACACTGACGCGTCAAAGACTGAAAGTGGTGTTGGATATTCTGTAACCACTGTACAACAGCCTGTCGAACTCTCTAAAATCTCTCTTGGTGTAGTATCCACACTGTTGAACTACTAGCATATAAGCTTTCAAATGTGGCCAACAATATCCAAATACACACATAGATATATGCTCTGATTCGATTTCCTCTATACACTCCATTAATGCTATATTCACCAAACATCCTATCGTCCAAGATATTCATGACACATATCAGCTTCTTATAAAACAAAATATAACTATCACTCTGATATGGGTACCATCCCATGTTGGCATTAGTGGTAACGAAAAAGCTGATTGCCTTGCCAAAAAAGCCGGATCATCCTCGGACACCATTATGAATATACAAATTTGCAATGATCTGATAGCTAGACTAATGAAGCTTAATATATCCACCTGGCAGATTTATTGGAATAATGTTACTTCAGCGCTGCATGTAATCAAACCTTCAGTGAACCTTCTAACCTATCCCAGTTTATCTCGAAAAAATATGGCAATCATACGGAGATTGCGTATTGGACATACCCGTCTAACTCATGGCTACCTGATGACATCATCTCCACAACCAAAATGTCAACACTGCAATACGACTCTTTGAATCAAGCATATACTTATCGAATGCCCTTTTTATGCCAAAATACGCCAACAGCTCAATATCAGTACCAACTTCAAAGAGGTCCTAAAACAGCACAGACGAAATCAACAAGGTCATCAAATTCCTCGAGAACAGTCAACTTCTCAACAAAATATAAATGTTATATTACAAGTTTTTATTATTTTTCTCTGTATGTTAGATGTTAACTACATTATTTTGTAATTTATATGATATTACCATGTAAATCGTAACTCGTGCTAATGACCTAGATGTCACATGCACGTTAATTTAAATAAAAAAAATAAGCTTTTTTATATTCGTCGAAACAAGCATAAATCTCGTTTTGACATAAATGGGACTTCAAATTGTTAGGTATATTGATACTGAGTAGTGTTTATCATGTACCCATTCCATTTAGTAAACCATCGTGCAGTTTATCACATACATATTATACGTTTATGAATGATCATTCACATGACACAATAAGCTAATTGTGCGGTGACCAGTAAAAGAAAGTATTATATTTTCTATTATTTGCACATAATGCATCACACTACGAATATGCTAATTACTTTTGCTAAACTGTTTAAAGACACGTTTAAATATTGATTTTTGATTTAGGAATAGAAATGTTTGAAGAAAAGGATGACAAAGTCAATTTTTACTTTACAAAGTTAGATAAACATCTGGTTTGCTTTACTTTCAATATTAACGAAAACTATTTAATAGAAGAAAGAAAAAATTCGCTGGTAAAAGTTTACGACTATTATAATCCTGAATATGAAATCCAACAATTCTACAATATCAGTGAAGAATGTAAAAGAGTAGGAGAAGAATCAAAAAATCTCCAAATAAGTAGTAAGTATTTATAAAAATTATAATTAAAGCTACGTCGATTTGACATTTAACAAACACCATTAATAAACTCGTTTTTGGCTGTTTTTAATGTCTTACACTTTATGTCTCTGAAATCACTTTGTGTTCTGAAATCACCTCTATTAATGGTCACTGTATCTACACTGGTCAAATGCTAAACGCCGTATTCACTAGTGATGTGTATTTTTTCAAGTAGTGACTTTCGAGCCATAATCTACGAAAAAATGAGACATTATGCCGCTACAACTCATCGATATCAACATATCCATCATTATCTCTCTTTGAATTTCATGTTCACATCTTATTCTTCGTGCTACTAGGATTACTCCTGTTTGTCTGCTTTATTCTGTTTCAGTCGTTGTTGACTGTACATTATCTTTCCACCTTTTTGGCGGCCTTCCAACGCAACGGGTCTTCTGCTATACGGCTTGATGTTTTTACAGATGTTCGCTAATCTATCTGGTCCCATTCGGTTTACATGTTCGTTCCAGTTTTTTTTTCTTGTTTTTATCCACCTGTTAATATTTTGAATCTTGCATTTTTCGCGTATACTTCTGTTGGTTTGTCTGTCTTTTATTGATATGCCCGCTATTGATTTTAATACTTTCATTTCGATATTGTTATTTGTTTTTTTCGTCTTTTTTGTATCGGTCCTTGTTTTCGCTGCATATGTTAGGATTGGTCTGTACTGTTGTCTTGTATACTTTCATTTTGCTTTCCGTGATCAGATATTTGTTTCTCCATATGGTTTCTTGAAGGCAAGCCACTTACTCTTGCCGCTTTTGATGCTTGCCTTGTGGTCTCTGTTCTTATATCTTTGTTACTAGTGATCTCTACTCCTAGGTATTGAATTCATTACTTGTTCTACAATTTTGCCGTCTATTTCTAGTCTACATCTACGCGGCTCTTTACTGGTCACTATATATTTAGTTTTTTCTACTGATATTCTCATAATCAGTTTGTTTGCTGTGATATTGAAGGTGTGAAGCTGCCTTTGTAGGTCATCTTCGTTATCAGCAATTAGTACTGCATCATCGCCATAACATAGTATCGTGATTTTGTGCGCTCCCATGTGGTATCCGTGTCGTTTTCTTACTTCATGAATTATTTGATTTATCACCATATTGAATAACAATGGACTGAGCGAGTATCCTTTACAGATTCCTCCTTTTAGTTCTATGCATTATATTTCTCCTGTTGGCATTATAACTGTGATCTTGTTGTTCTTGTTAATTTCATTAATTGACCTTATTATCTGATGGTCTATTTGTTCAGCTTGTAATAAATTTAAGATGTCATCCTTCCTTCCAAGAGGAAAGGACGGAAAAGGAAGAGGTTTACTCTCCGGACGCTGGAACTCACCTAAGACATGGGTGTGTGTTACGTAAAGTTAAATTTAATTTAATAATAAACATCAAATATTAATTACAACAATATGTACAATCTTTTGTAACCTCACGTATTTTAAAGGGTTTTTACCCTGATATGTTGGTGGCTCAGGCATGTTTACTTGCGTTTGTACGAAAACGTTTGTGTAATTTGATGTAGCCTTTTTAAGTTTTTTTTAAATATACCCATTTACAAAGATCTAAATTCTTTTTGTGATACGTGGTATACAGCCAGCTGCAGGTATTATTTTCCTTGTGGATTTAGCTTAGAAAGGTCTGAGGTGTGGTTACCAGCATTTGGACAGTAAGAAGGTGACTGAAGGCAGCCAGATTAGAATTTGTCGCGAACATCTGGATTGGAGTCTGGATATTAATGAAGTCAGGTATTATTCTCCGACGAAAGTAGTATCTGCCTACATGGCAAAGAAAAGAAGCGTCGAGTCTATAGAAGGCCAGAAGAGTGATTTGCCTCTTGTTGTATACGACAAATTGTGTCATATGTAGGCTGTTCTTTATGTTTTGGGTAGGCATTGTAATCCCAAATTTTGTAAGCCCCATTGTAGGCACAGTCACCAATAACTATCTGACTGAGATCGGTATACCTACAATAAATTGGCCTGCATTGAGCCCAGACATAAATCCCATACATCTTTGTATTTTCATACTTCTTACATTGAAACAGAAGGTGTTATCTCAAATATCGCTTTTGTGTTGATTGTTTTGCACTCAATAGTAGTTTATCTGCGGCTATTAGATTCATCTCGATATAGTGTCTCCGAACCCGAATTATGTGTGTTAAAGTCTTAAGATACCCAATAGTTTCTTATTATTTTGTTACAATAATTATTAAGAAAATACGAAAATATATTCTCTTATTGTCGATATATTTTAACTCAAATAAAACGAGCTTTTTGTCTCGTCCACCTTCCGTTAAAACAAGTTGATCTTTAGACACTTTCGATACATTTTAGTGAAAAATGTCTCCCCTTTCATTATAAAAAATTATCATTCTTTATGACCACAACTTAAAGTTATGTGCCACTAAATACAACAAAGCATTAATTGTTTTTAATAAATTAATTCCTCTGTAATTTTCCGGGTACGAGTTGTCTCCCTGTTTGAAGACAAGTATTAGAATGCTTGATCCCCATTCTTGACGAATTCTGTTTTGTTCTTTTATTTTTTGGATTAGATTTAATAGTTGTTTGGTCAGATCTGGTCCTCCGTACTTTAGGAGTTCGTTCGGTGTTCTGTCCTCTCCTGGTAATTTTCTACTTTTTAATTTCCTTAATTCTTCTTTACCTTTTCCTCTTCAATATGTATTTCTTCGTTTGTTCTTAACCTCTGGTGTTGATGGTTCATTATCGTCACCTTAACAAATAGGAATCGAAAATAGTCTACCCATGTTTCGTTCTAAATGTGTCTCGGTTTTATTAATTCGTTTATCTCTTTTCTTTGTCCTCTGATCATTCTCCATATTTCTTTTCGTGTTCCGGAAAAGTCATTTGTCATCTGTTTTGAGAAACTTTGCTAGTGTTCCCTTTTTATTTGTCTAACTAAAGTATTCATCTCATGGTTGATTCGTATATAGTGGTTATATGCATGTTGTGTTGTATTTTATATTGTAAAAGGGTTTTCTTCTTTTCCTAACATGTCTTCACTTCCTCTCTAAACCAAGGTGTTTTCTTTTTTGATATGTTAGTCTTCGTTACTTAAATCTCTCCAATTGATTTCAAGTTATTTTTGAGTTTTTCCCAGCTTTTCTTGATGTAATCGTTCTCTTATATTTCTATCATCGTTAGTATGTTATTTTTACTTGTCTTAAGTGAATAAATATTATTGTTTATTAACCATGTAGATTTCAGTGATATTTTGAAAATAGAATTTGCTTTTAATATTTTTGTTTAAATATTTGACGATATTTTGCTTTTATATTGTTATTTTGTACTACTACTTTTGTTTCAGATCCAGAAATAGTACAAGATTTTATGATTACTTCTACAGAAAGAAGCTCTGGAAATATTTCTACAACTCCTTTCAAATAATTAATATTATTTTGTAATTTTCTTTAATAAATAAGGTACATTTAGGTGTTTATATTCCTTTCATTTCACTAAACCAAATCATATACTATGAGTTAATTAAAACTAAATTATTTTAAGGCACGTGGTGTTCGTGTGTATCAAGGTATAAAAAATGCTTTTAAAGGGTTAAAATTTTATTTTAAAGATCTTTTCGAAATTGAATCATTCCATCATCAGTTTAATAAAAAGTTTGTTAAAAACATTGTTTGGCCACAGAAAAACAATAGAAGGACATCAGTAACAAAAAACAATCCTAATGGAATTTACAAAGGTAAATGCAATAGACCGTTAACTTCGGTAATTAATAAAACTAAAAATGGGGGCATCTAACATGACCTCCAGGAGCTGGTGAGATTTTGTCGACTTACATTACCTCTGATCTGTGCTGGAGTCTAGGGTTAACTCTAGAAATCGAAACTTTTCTGAAACCATTTTTTTATTTATTCACCTGACTGGCATCTAAATCATGATTTTTTGTCTGGATTTATTATATCTATCTAAAATTAATTACACATCAATGATGTTTGTCAAACTGACAACAATAGAATTGCAAGACACCTTCGTGACGGATCTGTCATAGTTTTGTCGCTGGGGAATCACAAGCAGGAAGGAGTTTTGTCAGTAGGAAACGTGGCGTTGCTATGACGTTTTATCAGTTAAAAATAATCTAGTGAAATAGTCGTTTATATACATATACAGAAAGGTTGTTTCAAATTAAATTTCCTATCGAAATGTCACTTTTTAAAGTTAAAAATAATTTTTTTAGCTAACATTCAAAAAACGAAGCAAAAAACAGCAACACATGCAATTTTTCTTTTTTGTCCCATAACTAGTTTCCATGAGGGTATAGATATAGGCATTGCTTCACAGAAAAAAACTTTTATCCTTTTTTTTCAATATGACATTTGGTAGTCATTTTGGAAGTCTTTTCGATTCAGTGTCCGAGATACGATAGTTCACAATTTGACGAACCATATCTTGGTTACCGTTAGTCCTAGAATATTTTACAATAGAAACTTTTAAAGTAAAAAGAAAATAGTCTTCTTTTTTATTTCGTAATGCATTTACCTAAATGTGCAAGAAAAAAGTTATAATGGGAAATTTAAAAAATTGTCCTTTAGTCTAAAAAACTTTAGACTAAAAGTAGAAAACTTTGAAGAACCCTTCTTCGTCTTCTCATGGCGCCCGTCTTTTTTCGAAGGTTGACGATCCAAATGGCAATTGTAGTTTTGAAAACTGCTGCGCGAAAGATTTCTGCGGATGAGCGGTCGAACTATCTTCTCAGGTCTTTCAGCCATGAGTTCTCTAGCGTCTTCCTACTGATCTTTTGCCCTGTACTTTTCCTTGCAGTATTAATTGAAGTAGTTCATATCTTTCGCCTCTCAGCACATGACCCAAGTATTGTGTTTTCCTCTCTTTGATTACTCTTAATAATTCTCTTTGTTTAAACAGGCGACGAATTACCTCAACATTAGTAACTCTTTCCTACCCATGGAATTCTCAACATTCGTCTTATATATACATCTCAAAGGCATCTATTCTTTTTTTATATTTCAGAATCCATTGTCCAGCTTTCACAGCCATAAAGTAAGACAGAAAAAACGTAACATCTGATCATTCGGATTCTAAGTTGCAGACTAAGGTCTGATCTTGTAAAAAATGTTTCCATGTTCATGGATGTTTTTGTTGTTTGTTCGATTCTTGATGGAATTTCTTTTTTTTTTGGATTACACTGACCATTGATATTTACTCCATAAGTTTTAGTTTTGGAACGTTTAGATGTAAACCGAACATTACGCTGTAGTGAACTACCCCATTTATTATATTTAGTAGTTTTTGTGCGTTGCTTGCTATTAAGACGGTATCATCAGCATATCTGATGATGTCTATGCTGATTCCGTTAATCTTAATTCTGCCATGGACCTCGTCTAATGCTTCTCTGCATTATAGACTCCGACTACAAATTAAACAATAGCAGTGATAAGACGCAACCCTGTCTCACTCGTCTTCGGATTTGTAAATCTTCGGATATTGAGTGCTCTATTTCAATTGTTGCCGTTTGGTGCCAGTATAGTTCTGAGATAATTCGCAGGTCTTGTTCGTCAACTTCAGTTGTTCTCAGAATTTCGATCATCTTTTGATGGTTAACGCAGTCAAATGTTTTTCGATAGTCAATAAAACATGCATATACTTCTACATTCATGCATCTCTGCATCGTTGCGTTTAAAATTTAAAGCAAAAATAGCCTCTCGCATTCCCAATCCGTTTTGAAATCCGAATTGAGCGTCACTCATCTAGAACTCACACTTCTTGTAAATTTGTGTATAGATAATTCTAAGAAAAGTTTTTAGGACATGAGACATCAAGCATAATATTCGATAATCATTCGCATTGTGAAGAATTCGATTTTTTTTTGGTAATGCTAAGAATGTTGATTTTAGCCAGTCTGTTGGTATTTTACCTGTGTTATATATCTTATTGAATAGTGCTGTTATTAAGTATAGGCTTTTACTTTCGTCATCTGCAATTAGTTTTAGTATTTCGATATTGATATTGTCTGGACTGGTGGCTTTTCCATCTTTCTGAGATTTTACTGCGTGAATCACTTATTCTTTGGTTATTTCTGTGCCTTTTTAATTTATTCGATTATATGTGGATGGTGGGTGTAACAAAAATGCTTTGTGCTGTTGCACGCCAATGTAACAAAACGTGTAGGATAATGGAAAGGATAACGTATAATTTAAGCTGGCTAGCAGAAGGTGCCGGAGAGTGACTACTTGACACTCAAAGGAGAATTCGGCCAATTTGCATGCCCTACAGAGACCGTAGAATTAGAAAATGAATGACAAGGTTATAAAAAAATCTATAGGTATATAACTAAGATAAATAAAAGTGATTGTAGAAGTTGCTCCAAAATGTGAGTGGGTGCCAGGAAAGTATTTACATAAACTTTCCAAGGTATCTTGTAAAGCTGTTTGCTGAAATAAAGAAAGGATATAGGTATGAATTGAAATATTTAGTTTTCATTAAAACTTTAATCCCTAGCCAAATATATACAATCTAAATTTAATATACCCACCACCAATTATGTACAGCTAATCTAGTTATATACAAAAAAATAAATGCTCTGGTTATACAACCGATCCTGGATGATCTAAATTTACAAATAATAAAATATAGAAAAAAAAATGGTAATAATTGACCTAAAAAGGTAATTTATGATGAAAATAGATGCCTCAGAGATGCAACTCTGTATTCTGGCTTTATTGAATATAACAGTAACAAGTAATAAGGTTGGACTTAAAGTTAGAAGGGAGGACTTAAAAACCTCTACCTGTAGTTGACAATTTGTATTTAAATATTATTCAGTAAATTATTAAAAAAATGACGACTCTTATTATTAGATGAAATACTAGAAGTTAAATATACAAAAAGAAATTATACAAAAAATATTATAGGTAAAAAAATAAATCTAAGAAATAAACTTAATCCAGATTTACTATATTTTAAGGGAGATAATTCCCGCTGGTTTCCTAAAATTTGTTTCGTAATCGGAAGGTCAGATCTGAACCTCTGTGGAGCAGCTACGGCAAGGAAAAAAAACAGGCCTGGAACCAGGTATAACCGGGCTAGGTTTCAACTTAATAGGTACTTCTTATTCAAAATTATTCAAAAAAAAACCAAAAGCAAATTCTTCCCCCGACTTCTGTTTGAGTCCCAAAGGTAGGCTAAAAAAACATTTCTTTTAGAGTTCTTTCTTATACTTTACAGAGTAGGAAAAAAAACAAGGTTTATGAACCTTGAAAGGTTTTATAAATGTTACTTATGAATTGTGAGAGCAAAAAAACTTAATGGTTTTATAGATAATTTGACCGTCGTATGGTTTGACAATTTAAATGGATTAATTATATCGACAATTTTAATGAAAAGCATATTATACGAATATATTTTATAATATAAAGAGCGATATAAGACAGAATATTTTAACGATACTCTTAATAGCAATTTTACCGATAGATAATTATGTTTTACGGCCGGGAAGTAAAATTAAAATACATATGATTTTAAATCAATTAAACACTTTCTATTTAGATGTTGAATATTTCTTAACGACGGATGGAAAAAAGTTCAAATAAGTATATCGAATTGAAACGTGACAATACAGGATCTCAAAATGGCTGATGACTTTTTGTATTTTGGTTTTATTTATAACTTGGATACTTACGGCTCACAGTGGCTATAAACCAAACAGGACACTCCAAACAAAAAAAAACCCAAACTCAAACTTCCTATTACTTCTTCATAAAAAAAACTGTTAAATTCCAAAAGCCACGCCACGTCTGGCCCCTACCTTGGACTCAAGTTTCTATCACCAAAGTTCAAACAGAAGTGCCCTTCGGGTACTCTATTTGAGCTAGCTAAACTATGATTTCAAACTTGGACGCTTGGTGTCGCTGTTTCATACCAACTTAAATTTTAAGATTCAGAAAATCATTAAGAGGATTGAGATTTTAAAATGTATTTAAAAAATGTTTACGGAATGTTATAGTAACGTTCTCGTTACATGGAGAACAAGGTCTATCGTCGTCAAAAAGAGTTTGTATGTATTTTTTCCATCTCTCTAGTTTGTCTTTTGTACTCATAATTATTTCCTTATCATTTTTTAATATTGTTGCTTGTCTCTTTTTGTGTCTACCTCTTTACTTTTTTATGAATAAACAAGGTGTCGTATTTTTCCTGCAGTTGTTCAATTTCTAGGCACTTTGTTGGCATCCAGTTTTCTTTCGCCTCGCTGCACTTTTTTCTAAAGATTTTATTGATTCGCTTGTATTCTATTGGACTTGTTTTATGTTTTCGTCTGACGTTCATAAGATCCATGATCTCTTACGATATCCGTTTTTGTTTTTTGTTGTGTTTTATGAACCCGATGTCTTCTTCTTGTATCTTTGTTATTTTTGTTTTTAGAGCAGTCCATGTTGCTTCAGTGTCTGTCTGTACCAAGTTTTCGATCGTTTTTATTTCTTCCTCAAGCTTGATACTTATGTCTTTTTTCTGTTCAGGGTTCTTCAATTGTGAGATGTCTATTTTTCTTGTCACTGTTTTCTTTTTGATTTTGAGAAATCTTTTTAATCTAAAATCCATTATAACTGGATTGTGATGGCTATGTATATCAGCTCCAGGGTATGTTTTCGTAGATTGTATGTACTTCTTAAAGGTGTTATTGAGCAAAATGAAGTCAGTTTCAGCTCTAACAATTCTGTATTTTCTGTCTGCAGGTCATTTCCATGTGTGCAGCCTTCTAGGATGTTGCTTGATGAAGGTATTGGCTATTAACAGATTGTTTTCTACGCAGAATTGTACAAGTCTATCTCCTTCATTATTCTTGGTACCTAGACCGTATGTTCATATGTAGTCTCCATCAGCACCATGACTAATTTTAGCGTTAAAGTCACCAGTGAAGAATCCTATGTTGCTTAAAATTAGTTCTAGAACCTTCTACTATGGACCATTTTAAAAGTAATTGATTTTTCTTTCAATTAAATGTATACTTAAAACTAGGTAGAAAAAAGATATAGAACAATGTTTGTGAAAAAATAGGATACATGGCCAAAAAATGGTGTGAGTGGAATTTAAAGAATGCTATCTATGATACTGTAAATCCTAAATACTTTTACCAAATGTCATTTTGAAGAGAAAGAATGAAAGTTTTTTTTTCTGTTAAGCAATGCCTATACCTATTACCTATACCTTTTAGCCCTATTTTTTGAACAAAATCAATAGCCTAATAGACACCTTGTGAACTATTAAACTTATTAACTTTTCTGCTCATAATTCCCCAATAATTTGGATTTTATCTCTAAGCCGAAATTATTTTTCTTGTAGTTCCTTCTCCTATCGGAGGTTGGCTTTCATCACAGCTATCCGTACCTTATTGGCGGCTGCTCTAAAAAGATCTACTGAACTGCAACTATACCACTCTCTTAGGTTTCTCAGTCAGGAAATTCTTCGTCTTACTATGGCTCTTTTACCCTTGAAATTAATTAGCTTTATTGTTTGCTTACCATCAACGTCTAAATTGGAAAAATGGGAGAGGAAATTATATATTTTTCTATTTTTTGCATTATAGGAAATTAAAACAACGTAGTTAAAGAATGTATTTAAAATATTTTACTCATCAACGCTAAACCTACAATCAACATGGATATACTTTTCTTATACGAGTACCTATAACCTGAAGTGGCAGTAGTGGGAATATAATTTGGTAATAATATTTCCAGAGGTGCTGGTGGTGAATTTATACAAATTGGAAATGAAGCACATCCCTTACAGTCTTCTGGTTGATAAATGTAGCATTCTTCATTCGGCGGACAGTAGAAATCTATACACTGATTCGACAATACACGGCAATCTGAGTAAGCTAAAACAAAATATTTTTTTATATTATATTTTAACGTGAAAACTATTTAAAATTGTATATATCTACTCTTGAATAACGTATTTAAAAGAACAGTATATGCCCAATAAAAAAATTAAACCGATAGTGTTGAAAACGAGTACACGTAAACTCATCACCAATTATCAAAAATGTTCTCGTATATAGTACAAACTAATCACCGCAATAAAAGTAGGGATTTTAAAATTGACCCAAAGCGATTTACAAACTGATCACTGGTCAAACTAAGGTTTGATAGATAAGTCCGAATGCAGATAAAACAACGAAGTTGGAAACTATTTCAAATATAACTGAAAATAGAACATGCTCACAAATATTCTCATTAAAAAGTTCACTACTAAGAAACCAGCACCTTGGAGCAAAAATGCTGGTGATAAGTTTACCTATCTATGGTGATGAGTTTATCGATCCACTAAGGATGCCGGTGATCAGTTTTCTATATCTCTGAGGATCTAATAATTGTATCTTCTTCTTTATGTGCCATCTCCTCTGAGAAGGTTGGCAACCATCATGGCAATTCGCACTTTCAATACCGCTGCTCTAAAAAGGTCAGCAGAAGTCTAGTTAACACAAGCTCTCAAATTGTTTAACCAGGAGATGCGTCTTCTTCCGCGACTCCTTCTACCTTGTATTCATCCTTGCATTATTAATTCCTTTCCCATTCTTCCCAAATTAGGTGAACCGCAAATTCAAAGTCTCTTGCTAGAGGCTTTTAACAACAATCACCGAAAATTTCACCTTTCGATTAAAGTTCTACGTAAAACTGGCTTATACCATCTTTAGCAAATCCTTTACCTGACGCTTTCCCGATAGTTATCTACCAAAGAAGTATATATATATATATATATATATATATATATATATATATATATATATATATATATATATATATATATATATGTAAATACTTTTTTCTTTTTGGGTGTGGTAGTCAATAAAAAATAGAGCTTTGCTAAGGCGTACTATTTATTCTGAATTCCGAGCTTTCGGTGGTTATTTGCCACCTTTATCAAGGTCTACAATGAAAATTACTGTGTTATAAACAATTTCATTGTAGACCTTGATAAAGGTGGCAAATAACCACCGAAAGCTCGGAATTCAGAATAAATAGTACGCCTTAGCAAAGCTCTATTTTTTATTGACTACCACACCCAAAAAGAAAAAAGTATTTACATATATTTTTTCCAAACTAGTCAAAAAACTTTGGACTACCTTGTCTATATATATATATATATATATATATATATATATATATATATATATATATATATATATATATATACATATATATATATATATATATATATATATATATATATATATATATGTATATATATATATATATATATATATATATATATATTATATAATATTTTTGATCAATTAAAATTTAAAATAAAGACCACTTTGATGCATTTTCAACGTGTGAATGACTCTAAATCTCTATCAGTAAAAACTTACTATCCTTGCAGATACCAGATATGCAACATCCTCCACAGCATGAGTTGTCGTCTGAACACTGAAACAAAGAACTTGAATAAAAAATTGGGGACAGCAATTTAGTATGAACATATTTATTAAAAATTAAATTAGAGAAAATTTGCTATAGATCACGAAAAACAATTTTTTTTATATAAATACACTATAAATAATATACCTGCGAGTAAATGAGGAGAAAATTAAGATAATGGCATCAACACCCACCAATAGAGCCAAAAATATCGGCCTTTGAAGTGGTGGACAAATTCACATACTTAGACTGCCTGATCACCAAAGAGAACGTCATGCCGGAAGAAATCAAGCGAAGAATAATCCTAGCAAACAAATGCTATTTTGGATTGAGTAGACATATGAGAAGCAGAAACGAAAGCCAAAAAAACAAAAATATCCATATACAAAACCTTTATACAACCAGTGTTAACATATGGATCGGAGACATGCACCATTTCCAAGCCAAATGAAAATCTCCTGCTTATTTGTGAATGAAGGATCCTGAGAAGAATATGCGGTGGCATCTGTGAAAGTAGTGTTTGGAGAAGGAGGTACAACTACGAGATATATCACAGATATAAACATATATTTGGTGGTAAAGACGTAGTATCTCTTATAAAAATAGGAAGACTAAGATGTGCAGGACATCTGGCAAGATCAGAGCAGAACATATCTCCTAGAAGAATCCTTATGTCACAACCTATGGGAAGTAGAAGTAGGGGTAGGCCAAAATTCAGATGGAGGGGGTGTAGATGAGGATGGTAGAAAAATAGGCGCAGCAAACTGGCAACAGTTGGCAATGGATAGAACTGACTGGCGTAATTGACTTGCTAAGGTCGAGGCTCTTTTATAGGGTTGTAGCATCAATGATGATGATGATGAATAATATACTGCGTAAGAAAAAATGATATATGGGAAAGCAAAGGCACCAAAATATACAGATTATATGGGAGAAACAAAGATTTTTCGAAGGTTGAAAAACTGAAGAGTTTAAGAAAAAATGAAAAATACTCAACTAATCAATCATCAATTCAATATATAAGACACGATGTAAAAAAGCTTGCAGTAACTATAGAGGTATGTATAACCAGGAAGTCCGGTTTGGATTGGTTACAACAACTGGTAGAAAAAATGTAGACAAAAATTTAGAAACTTACCTTATGTTTATATATTTGGAGAAAGCGTACGACAGTGTGCCGATTAACAAGTTATTTGAAGTGCAGAACTCAGGTTTAAATAATTTATATATAAAGACCCTGTATGAAATATATATATATATATATATATATATATATATATATACAGTGTAGGAAAAATTTTATGGTCGGTATGGACCTTACGTGAGATGGAGTGAGAAACAGCTGTTTAGAAAGAGAGAGGCATATTAGGTCCGCCCTTTATATCGCCAAACATGTATGCCTGGAAAGGGGAAGTTCAACGTTGCCAAACTTATTGGATTTATTTGACCTGTTGTTTTTTTTTGCATTTGAACAATGTTCTAAGATAATCCAATTTGGGCGAAATTGATTTAAATGGCAGCTTACTGTTTTTTTTTATTGGGAATATGCCACAAGTTTACTTTACAATAAGTGTAATATAACATTTTGATTTCCACTTTGGAAATCGTTTTATATAAATAAAATTTATTAATGTTTCGTATTTTAAGTACGATTTCCGAATTAAAAATCTAAACATCAAAATAAGCTTATTTTAAAATCACATTGTGCCTTATTCCCAATATGAAATAATAAACTGCATACAATAACACCACATTAAAAAATATTCATACACAATAATTTATTTGACAACGTCGTCCGTCTGGTCAGAAAACCGAGTAACGGGTAGTAGAGGTGGGTCGTGGTAATTTTATCGTTAAGAGCGTTCGCATTAATATTTTTTAAATGCATTCATTTTTTTTCGAATCCTGATATAACTAATAAATATTCTTGAAAAATTTAAACGCAGTATGAACCAATACATTATTACCGAGGGCCAAAAGTCCCTGAAAACTTCTATAATGTTTATTTTAATAAGTTATAAGGGCGAAAAAAAATTAGTGTGATTTTTAATTTCAAATATCTCATTCAAAAAACTTTTTGTTTATTCTAAGGGACTTTCGGCCCTCGGTAATAATGTAATCTTTTATTCTGCATTTAAATTTTTCAAAAATATTTGTTAGTTTTCTCAGGATTCCAAAAAAAATGAATGAATTTAAAAATTTAAATTTTTGTAAACAAGTAACTATGATTGTTTAAAAGTAGTTTCAAGTAAGAGAGTACCTACATAAACAAACATAATGGCTATTATCGTTTATGTGTATATTTATTGAAGTGAAAGAAACTAATGATATATTTATTATAACTTAAAAAATAAACTAAACAATACAAATAGTAAATCGTACTTACATTTACATTACACGTTATTATTAAATCGCGAATAGTCTAAATTGACATTAAAAAACATAAGTTTTTCTACTATACCTACTTCTTATTAACCGTCTCCTTTTTTTTGTTTCAAATTAAACCAGATTTTAACATGTGTTCACATTTACAATACTGTATGAATATAGGGGTTAAGTTAGGATATACATGGCGATGGTTTTTCCACCGTTGTAATGGACTCTCGATACAGATGTACGTGTAGATGAGCCATCTCCAATTAATTGATCAAATATACACCATGGATTAAAGTCATCTTTATTGGTTTCTTTTTCTTGTACTGGTTGATTTTCAATAGTACAATCTTCTTGTTCGTTAATTATAGAAGTAACCAGCTTCTTAACTTTTTCTTTTATTTTTTTATCTTCATTTTTATCAGAAAAACCCTGCACTTTAAATGGTGAATCCATAAATGTACATAATGACAATATGGATGTAAGGTTACCGTTTGCTAAAATTTTCTTGCAAGATTCTTGCAGGCCGCGTACCATAACAATTACTGAACTACCCTCCAAGTATTTTTGGTCACTCATTGTACTTGTTATTTCTTTAAACGGCCGTAAAATTTGGAAAAGCTGAGAACAAATAATCCAGTGTTTTTTATTTAGATTTGGTCTTAGTCTAAGTCTGTATTATTTAATACCGATGTGGAACGGAAATACACGCCAGTACACCGAAAATATCAAAATACAGAGAGGAGTCCGCCAGGGTTGCGTGCTGTCCCCACTACTTTTCAATGTCTACAGTGATCGGTATTTTAAGAAGCGCTCTCAGACTCAATAGAAGGGATATCTATCAATGGAGAAGTTTTGAATAACTTACGTTTTGCAGACGATACAGTAATAATTACGGATAACAACAATGATTTACAGAACCTAATGCAACGCCTTAATGAACGCTGTCATGAGTACGGACTGAAGATAAATTTAAAGAAAACTAAATGCATGATCATGACTAAATCTGCACAAATATCCAATTGACTATTGAAGATACTGCAATTAAGAGTGTTAATAACTATAAATACTTAGGAACATGGATAACATCAGATGTAGACCAAACCAAAGAAATTAAGACACGTATTGAAATAGCACGTACATCATTTATTAAACTTAAAAAGTTTCTTTGTTGTCGGGATATAAGGTTAGAACTACGCCTGAGAATGCTTCGATGTTACGTGTTCTCTACTCTTCTTTATGGTCTGAAAGCTTGGACACGAAAACAAGTTCATCTGAATAAGTTGGCCGCCTTTGAATTTTGGTGTTACAGAAGAATCCTACGAATATCATGGATTCAAAAAATGTCAAACATTGAAGTAACTAGAAGGATAGGAAATGAGGCAGAAATAATATTAACTATTAAAAGACGAAAACTTGAGTACTTGGGACATGTGATGAGAGGGCAAAAATACGCATTATTACAACTTATTATGCAGGGAAAAATCCGGGAAAAGCGAAATGTGGGAAGACGAAGAATATCCTGGCTTAAGAACTTAAGAGAATGGTTTGAATGCATTAGTGCAGACCTTTTTAGAGCGGCAGTCAACAGAGTCGGCATAACCATGATGATTTCAACCTTCGATAGAAGATGGAACTTAAAGAAGAAGAAGTGAAACGGATTGCCTCTTCTAACTCAGTCATTCAAGTTCTACCTAGTTTCCACGTCTTGGATTGGCCGTTTGGGAACTTTGTTATATTGTAATTAATACTTTAAAAGCCTTTCTGAAGATAAGGTACTTTTTTTTAATGTTTTTTGCAGAATTGTCGAAAAGAGGACTTTTTATTTTATCTATTATCAAATCAGTTTTGACATAACATTCCTGAAGTAATGAATATAACAGTTTTTCTTGTTGGCGGTTTATATCCAGGAATCCACCCTGCAAACTTTTTAAAAGCTGGTTCTTCACCTATAGAAAACGGATCAAACGAGTCTTTGCATAAGTTTAGTAAATCAATAAGTTTAGTCAAGAAAAAGAAACTGATAAAGATGACTTAAGTCCATTGTGTATTTTTGATGAATTAATTGGACATGACTCATCTAAACATACAACTGTATCGAGAGATATACAAGAAGTCGACATGTATTTGTCTGATAATATATTACCCACAATAAATTTTGAACGGAGATTGGAACTGTCCATTACCGTGGTGGAAAAACCATCGCCATGTATATCCTAACTTAGCCACTATATTCATAAAATATTGTAGAATTGTAACAAAATCTTTTCCTTGTGAACACATGTTTAAAATCTGGTTTAATTTTAAATAAAAGAAGAACAGGGTTAACAAGAAAAGTAGAAAAACTTGTTTTTACATGTCAATTTAGACGATTCGCGATTTAATAATAACGTGTAATGTAAATGTAAGTACGATTTAATGTAAATGTAAGTACTATTTGTATTGTTTAATTTATTTTTCAAGTTATAATAAATATATCCTTCGTTAGGTTCTTTCACTTCAATACTTATACACATAAACGATAATAGCCAATATGTTTGTGTACTCGCTAATTTGAATCAACTAGTTACAGTTACGAAAAACGGTTCCGATAAAAATTTAAAAAACGGGAGGACCCACCTCTAGTTTTTTAGGTA